TATTGCCTTCCTTCCCACCGCCAGCCTCTCAAGGATTCTCCACTCTTCTACCACAAGAATATTTTACTAACATTACTTTTGCATGTTTCCCCTCAACAATGCTGGGGCTAGGGGCAACAGGTCCCCATGCAGTTCAAAATCAGTGTATAATCTCATGCCTCCAAACATGTAATTATAAAGCATAAATGCGCACGCGCACACACACACACAAACATACAGACCTCCCCCAACACACATCTGCCTTCCAGCAGATACGTCAGCTGCTTTTTAGGCTGGACTTTCTGAGGACCCCCAAAATTTTTGCCATAGTTTTCAATGAAGTTGTATTTGCTACTCAAATGCAGCATAGCAAAACATTAGTCAGAATACCTTCTCTTCTAGGGCTGCCATTCGCTCTTTCAAGTGAAGCTGAAGTCGTTCATTGGATTCACTTAGCAGTCTATCTACAGTATCAGATAGCCGCTTGTTATGTTCCTCATTCATTTTCTCCCGCTGACGAGCCTGTGGGGAAATTAAGATCAGCCAAGCAACACCAAGCAGATTTGCCTTGAGAGTGCTATAAAATTAGTTCTAATCACCCATTTTAATACAAGAAAAGTCTTTACACCAGACTAAGAACCCATCACTAATGGAAAAGATTGAAGAAGAAAAAAACCTCTCTTTTTAAAAAAAATCTGTCACTGGTTCTGCTATGTCAACTTATATCAGTTGGGAAAACCCAGTTTACCAATATTTACTGTTTTGAAAATGAGAGCTGAAGTGTACTGTTCACCTGAGTAGTTTTTTTCTTCTAGGATGTAAGACTGACAAAAACAATTGTTTTAGTACTGCCAAACTTCTCATATAAATTAGTATTAAAAGCCCTTGAAATAGCATCTTAGAGCAAAAGATGCCTTTGTCCTTGTTATTCTATCAGTAGACAAACAATTGGTTTGGGAGTAGTGAACAGGAAGAGGGTATTTTAACTTCAATTCAGCACAGAGTAATACATTTTATTTCATTTTTAATTTTGGTTCACAAGAGAAGTCAATCATCTGGCTGGTAAAACTTGACACTACATTTCATGTACTATGAAATAGTTTTGGTATAGCTGGGTGCCACAGTTTAACACCTGCCATCACAATTCAACCGTAAACATCTGAGCTACAGAAGTGTGGTTGCAGACTTGTGAAAAGCTGCTTTCTATTGCCAGCTTACTATCTGATATAGCTTGTGACTGAGACCTTGATATACCAGCAGTAAATAAAGAAGACCAGGTGGTCCCTCTCCTTTTTTATAAGAGCATTCCAACAAAATATTCTGTATTGTAAGACAAGTGTTAGAAATGATAAAATGCCCAATGCTATATGCTGTATGAAAGCCAACCCACTCTTGCCAATTCTTGGTTCTTCTCCTCCAACTGAGTCTCCAGCTGCCGCAGTCGCTCTTCAATGCTGCCATGCCTTTCTTCTGCCTATGCAGAGAACAGTTTTGAAGCAATGAGTAACACACATGATAGGAATTTGAGGAAGAGAAATATGTTCATACATAAGAACACAAATGTGGTAGTTAGAGATAAAAGGAGCACCAGGGGACAACATGAAGCAGTATGAATGGGTTGGATTTGTTTTCAAAGAAGGTTTGGGTAGGTGGCAAACCTGGGAGATATTGGGAACAGACTGTCTTAAGTCTTTTGTTGGAATACATACAGTTAATTACACTGATGGTTTTTGGTTTGTTTGTTTTTTAGCTCAGATCTAAAACAACATTGCAGGGTTCTGTGCCATCAAGTCAATTCTGACTTATGGTGACCCTTTTCAGGGTTTACAAGGTAGAGAGAGCACAGAAGTGGTTTCCCATCCCCTTCTTCTGTGGGAGTCCTAGCACTGTGCAGCTTATCCAATGCCACACAGACTGGCCCTACTCTTCAGGAGGCAGAGTGGAGAATGAAACTTCTAACCTCTATGGCTCTGCAGCTATATACCTAATGCATTAACCTCCACCAATTCCTGAAATCTTGAAATAATAGCTTGCTTTCTGTCATTCTTGGGAAGTAATGCCTACCCTCAAATTCTGCATAGATAAATGCACAGATAAATAACCAGGCAGAGCAAGGTGAAAAATATGTCTAGCAAAGGTCATCATTTTAAGATGCAGCTTATGTCATCCAAGAATACAGAACAGAAGAATCCTTTGAAAGTAAATGAACAGCTCCTTATCTTTTCCAACATTCTTCCCAATTCCATGAATGTTGTAGGACCAGGATAGATACTGAATCTATTCAAGTAACGTAATATCACGTAAGTAAAAAACGCCTTGTTATTTACTTGCCTTTGTGAGTGCTGCTATTCTTTGAGCCAGCTCAGCCTCAACCTCAGGCAGCGTCTCAGCCTTCCGCATTGTCTGTTGCAGTTTTTGCTCTGCCAGTTCTAGAAGCTCCTGGAGGTGCCGTGCCTTCTCCTCACACTGTGCAACAAATATAGAAAGGCAACAATAACGGTAAGGAATTGGGACCCCAGAGTCAATTCCAGCATGCCTCAGAGCCATATAATTCCAAATCAGAGTCATACTGTATAATTCCAAACCCACAGGGCTTAGGAAGTGGTAACGCAGCCGTAAAGGGCTGCCTGATCACAGCCCTTTGATCCTGAAGCCCTTTCATGGCTAAGGGCTTCCGGATCAAAGGGCTGTGATCGTGCAGCCCTTTCACGGCTGTGATACCCACTTCCTAAGCCCAGAGAGGCTTATGAAGTGGATAAAGCAGCCATGAAAGGGCTTCAGGATCAAAGGGTTGCCATCGTGCAGCCTTTACTTAAAGGGAGCCTTTCCTTCCTTTTTGCTAAGCCCCGTGGCTCTGCAAAAGGCAAGGAAAAGTGGCGGTCAAAGTGAGCCATTTGATCCCTGCTTTTCCCTTCCTTTCGCTAAGCTCTGTGGCTTAGCAAAAGGAAGGGAAAGGCAGGGATCAAATTTTCTAATTTGGGGTTAGAAAAGGGGGAGTCATTTTATACACTGCATCGTCTTATAAATGGAAAAATACGGTAATTCTAATAAAGTTGTGTACGAACATTTGCAACTTCTAGTAGACACCAGTTCATAATGTTTTATTTAATATATATTGTGCAGTTACATTAAAATCTATGTATTTTTCATTTGTTACTCATCTCATCCTGGCAGTTTTGCAAAATGAGCAGCATATTAGTTCTTAAATAAAAAGGAATATCACAATAAGTTCCCAGAAAAGCTTCACACCACTATAATATTTCATCATGTTTTGGGTATTACAACTTCAGGCCATGCATCTTTATTTTCATTAAAACTGTGCTCATTACCACATATGGCTTGTGACATAGGCAGTTTAAGGATTACTCGCAGCTTCACTATTAAGGTCAGCATGAGAGAATTCATGTCTGGGTATTCCCATCTTCCAAAGATAGGGTTTTTTTTCTGTTGTAAGAACCTGTTTGTGAAATAAAGGCATTTGTCTGGAGCCAAATGTAATGTCATAGACCAATGGTTCCCAACTCTGGTAACCCAGACTGCAATTTCCAGAAACCCTGGCCAGCACAGCTAATGATGAAGGCTTCAGGGAGCTGCAGTCCAAGAATACTTGGGTTATCCAAGGCTGGGAACCATTGTCATAGACAATGGGTGAAGCCCTTTTCAATTACAGTGGTGCCTTGCTTAACGATTGCCCCGCATTACCATGAATCCACTTTACAACGATCTTTTTGCAATCGCAATTGCGATTGTAAAATGATGGTCTAAATGGGGGAATTTTGCTTAGCGGTGATCAGTTCCCTACTTCAGGAACCGATTTTCGCTTTACAATGATCAAAAACAGCTGATCGTCGGGTTTTCAAAACAGCCACCGGGTGCTTAATATGGCTCCCCGCTGTGTTTTAGGACGAATTCCTCGCTATATAGGCAGCGAAAATGGCTGCCATATGGAGGATCTTCACTGGACTGTGAGTTTTTACCCCATTGGAACGCATTGAACGGGTTTCAATGCGTTTCAATTGGGTTTTTAATTTCACTTTACAATGTTTTCGCTTAACAGCGTTTTTCCTGGAACGGATTATCGTCGTTAAGTGAGGCACCACTGTACTAGGCCAGGTCTTACACTTTTAAAAAAGTTCTATTCATGTTATCAATTCATTTTAAACTGGTCTGCTGTTTAAAACATACTTTTTTTTTAAAGTGGTCTTATTATTATTGTGGTGTTTTACACCACAAATACTAATTGTGTGCCGTGATGACCTTTTCTAGGGTTTTCTAGGTAGAGAATATACAAAATTAGTTTACCATTCCCATCTTTAGCCGCCACCCTGGGACTATGCGGCTTGCCCATTACAACACAAGGTGACTCTTCTCACAGGAGGCACAGAGGTGAATTAAACTCTCAACCTTTGGCTCTGCAGTGAGACACCTAAGCTATCCAGACAGCTATAGAAATGTACAAATTGAACAGTGGGGAATATATTTAGAGAAACATTTAAGGATAGACTAGTTGAGCTGAACAGTAGATACCCAAAAGCAGAGGTGGAGCTAGGGGTTCTGGGAAATAATTTTCTGGATCAAAAGGTAAATAAAAATATTCTATTAAAGAAAGAAAACAGGCATTCCAAAATGGTTGTGAATACTCAAGGCTGCCATTGTGTTTGAAATGGCATGCCATTAAAGTCTTGTTACCTGACGATGGAGAGACTCTTTATTGGCCAGCTCATTCTCCAATTTGTCGTTGAGGTCATGGATGGAAGTGGCTTCTCTCTGGGCTGCAAGGTAGCGCTTCTCCAGAGTAGTGATCCTTTCCTCCATATCTTCTTTCTGTGCCAAAGCCTGAAGTGAATAAGGCATGAAAAAAGTCTCTTACTCTGAAGTTGCATTTCCCTCAAGCTATCAGAAACTTCTACATGAATCACAACACTGAAGAAAAGCCAGACTACTAGAAGAGAGTCCCAGTATTTGGCATTTCATAGTAAGAGCTGGTTCCTGTTATGACCAGGAAAGAGGCTGGATAGAAAGGAGAGGAATTCAACAAGCAAATTCCACCTCCCTCAGTAAAGTGGCTCCTCCAAGTCAAATCTAGGCCCCATAAGCTGAGCCCAACTCAAAAACTGGCTGAAATCCTGTTGTGCAACTCCACGTGTGTAACTACCCTATTTCCCCGAAAATAAGACCTAACCTGAAAATAAGCCCTAGTATGATTTTTCAGGAAGCTCGTAATATAAGCCCTATCCCAAAAATAAGCCCCAGTTAAGTGAAACCCCACCCTCCACCATTGTGCAGCAACCAGAAGGAGATGACATGACTGCAAAATAAAACATCCCCTGAAGATAAGCCCTAATGCGTTTTTGGAGCAAAAATTAATATAAGACCCTATCTTATTTTTGGGGAAACACAGTAGAATGATAGCAGCAGCAAATCACTGCTGGTGAAAGGCTTCCTTTAGCAATTTTGGAGTGCATATGACTTTATTCCATTGTGTGCAAGTCATGTGCATCCTGAAATCACCAAGGGAAGACAAGCCTTTCATGAGCTGTGATTTGTTACTGTTGATGATATTATTCCCATTGTGCAGGCAGACAGGAGCAACAGGATGTCAGCCACTGTATCACCACTTACCTTCTACCACTCTTTGTCCCTCCTGATAGTCTCCTTGTATCAAGTTTGCACTGTAAATATGTTTTGTGCATTGATTTGTATTTGCTTACATGGCAAGTGATAAGGGTTGACTGACAGTTACATGTGGGATGTGTGTCAGGAAAGGTTATTAAGGCAGTAAAGAAGTGTGAAAGAATCTTTATGAATGAAATTGAAAGCTGATTGGTCTGCATGGTTCCAGGCTGGAAAAGTAATTTTTTATATATAAGGAGATACATGTGAGAGAGTGAGTCAGTTAGTGCTGTTGGTTAATGCTGTCAATTAGAATTCTGAAGTTAGAATGAGTGGTGTGTTTGTGAAGAGGTTATGGATAAAAGTGTAGTCTTTACATGGGATTTTTGCCTGAGTCAGTGACAAGGATAATTCAAGAGAAGGAGTATTTGTTCACAGGTTTAAATGACAAACCAAAACTTAGTGTGGAGGTTTGTGGGTTGTTGTAATTTGTGTGGTGGTATGGACAGATATAGAAGACTGTTGAACATTGCACTCCCATATCTTTAGCAAAAGTGCCTGACCCAATGATAGAGATAACAAAAAGTGACTAGGTCAATGTGGTAGTCACAGGATTCCTGGGGAAAAAAAATACAGTTTGCGCACTGTTTGATGCTTCAAGACCTCTCCTACATTGAAGGGAACTCACTACCACCTGTCATCCCCTCCCTCTTCCCCAACACAAGCCTTTTTTGAAATTGATTAAATTTAAAAATGGGGCTAGCAGGGAATATAGTACCAGAACAGTTAATTAGGTTTTCTAGTGTTCATCCTACCAGAACATTAAAAGCCAAATCCATCTCTAGTTATGGTTTTTTAAAACATTAAAAAAACATTGTTTCATTGTATTGTGTTGTATTTTAAAAATTTGGTCACTGAATAACTAACTGCTATAGCCACAAGTGATAATACAATACAGTCAGAAGCTTGGACTACAATTTTGCTTTTGCTATGCCTGGAAAAGCTAATTATATTTTTAAATGACCCATAGTTTCTATGATGTAGTTTATACCATTGGAAACAGAACTCTAACCTCTCGTAGATCCCTTTGGTACTTGCTGCTCATTTCTTCTGATTTGATTAGGTCCCTTCTGGCAGTATTTAGATCTTCTTCCAGCTCAGCAACACTGGCAGCCAGGCCAGCCATCCGTTCCTTAGCTTGAGTTAGCTCAAAGTTCTGTTTCTCTAGAAGTTCCTGCAGCTCCACAACTCGACTTGCCTCATCATCTGAGTGTATAGAACCATTAGGGAGTCTCTGTCAAGTCAGATAACAAAGAACTGAGTTTTGAAGGGATGGGCAATATTTGGTACAGCACAGCAACAGATCAGTAAGAGTATCAACCAACTGCCATGGAGTGATAATTCTAGAAATTAACTTCCCACCTGCTATATATTAGCACTTGAAACTATCAGCTCTTCCCAACTTTAATAATACAGTGGTGCCTCGCACAGCGAGGTTAATCCGTTCCGGATTAACCCTCACTGTGTGAAACATCGCTCAACGGAAAGTAAAAAGCCATTGGAACGCATTAAACATGGTTTAATGCGTTCCAATTCGGCCGAATCCTCACCGTTGTGCGATGTTCCAGGAGGGCCGGCAGCCATTTTCGCGCCCTCCCCTCGCTTACCAAGGGCGCGAAAATGCTGCGCCCGGCCATTTCGGCTGTTCCAGTGGCCATTTTGGACCCGCCGGACAGCTGATCGCAGTGTTTTCGCGCCCTCCCCTTGCTTACCAAGGGCGCGACAACGCTGTGCCCGGCCCTTTCAGCTGTTCTGGTGGCCATTTTGAAGCCACGGAACAGCTGATTGGCGGATCGCAAAGCGAAGGTCGGTAAGCGAACCACTTACCGACCTTCGCTCTGTGAATTTTCCCCTATCTAGGTGCCGTTTTGAGATCGCATTTGCGATCGCAAAAACAGCATCGTTGCGCGGATTCGTCGCTCTACGGAGCAACCGTTGCGCGAGGCACCACTGTACAAGTTTGTACATGTTACAGTTCTTGAAACAGAACTAGCAGAGCATTGATTGATTGATTGATTGATTGATTGATTGATTGATTGGATTTCTATCCTGCCCATCTAGACCAACAGGTCTACTCCTGTTTTGTAATCTATATGCTGGAATTCCTGTTAACTATTGCTTCTCTACTAACCACCATGACAGGACTATCTGACAAGTTCTATTCAAAATTTTTGCTCTCGGACAAATATTCAAAAATACCACTAGATATGGCTAACTTTCTATCAGTAGCAATATTATTTAAAAGACAACAGTAGATTTTCAGGGGGCTAACATCTACTGACATTCCTATATTTTTGTTTTACACTTCCTATACATATATATAGTTGCTTGTATTTGTTCTGGCCTACTGACCATGATACACTATGTTTTGAACACTATGCCGATTTTTTTTTTCTGGTAAGAAATGTCAAAAGTGAGAATAGAGAGAAACTAGAGGATTATAAACAGAAGGCAAAACTGCCTGGATGCTGTACATATTCTCACCCTCAGTTCCACTGGCAGTACAATAAAAGCCCCGGTTGGAAGCACTCATAGACTCTCATGAGGCAGCTAAACAAGCTGTACTCCACATTTTTAAAATGTTCAATCTGCCTATTATTGCAAAGTCCAGGAAATAGAAAAAAGTATGTTTATCTGCTTATATCTTTATTATTGAAAACTGATTCACTGCTACACAGTTTTAACAACAGTATTTCAATAGAATCAGAGATTATTCATCAACAATAGCAACAATTTTTTGATATTATCAAAGACTTCTTCCCAGAAGAATGGCTCTCACCTTCCAAAGTATCTTCTGACCTGGTTCTTTGCCCTCAGCCTTTTTTTCATCTTCGCCAACAGGTGCTTCCCTCTGGGAGGGGCCTTGCTGAAGAACATTTATCTGCAAAACACATATTTAATAACCATTTCTATTTAAATGGTCCACTGGTATGAAAAACAAGAATGAAGACAGATGAACAACATAGGCGCCATTCGCCTTAGATGTCTTCTGTCACAGCATCTAAAATTGTTAATACAGTACTTCTGAGATCATCCTGCTATTAAGATCTCTCATAGCACATGCTTCTGAAGAACAGTTCTTTCAGAACAGTCAAGATTGCAACAGTTCAAAGTAAGTTCCTTTTCCCCCAAGGTGCTGTTGGCACTGGGTTCTACCCTCTTCCAGCAGCGAAGAATAAATTCAGGGTGGGGAAGTAAGAGCCACTAGGGCAATCTTCCATTTTCTTTCTTATCAGAGTGAACTCTTCTTTTTGCCTGCTGTGGACATGCCCTCCTGGTTTGTACTTGAGCCAGACCTCAAGGTGAAAGGGAGTGAACCTGCCTCCCAATATTCCAAGGTCCAAACTCTGATCAAGCCCTCCTATAGATGCTTGAAACAACAGCCATCAGATGCATTTGATGCATGAATGATTTTTATGTATCACCTTGATGGGCCTTACAACACACCTTCTATCCCACAAGAAAGTAGAGAAGTTAGTTTGCCCATTGTTGTGAAAGAGTACTAGAGAAATCTAGACTATGAAGGGAGCAAAGAATGTAATGTAATGTGAAAATTGTGCCTACTTAGAAAATTCCATAATATTGTAAGCTGCTTCAAATGCTGTGTCGTAGCAGAAAGGCAAGGCATAAATGATACAAATATCTGACCATCTTACAATATTGTAATATCTGACTTCTTAAAATTTCTCTCGGGACACAACTTCTGCACAAATTGACACTTCTGTACAAACTATACAGCTGAATTCAAGCCAAAAGATTGGCGGAACACACTAAAAGGCACACATGAGGAAGTCTTATTTGAATAACAACCCCAATGTTATCAGAGGTCATATTTAGTGATGGTTCACTTTCTAACTTAAAAGGAACGGCACAGGTTTCAACAGTTAATGCCATGACCTAAATCAAAAGTGCTTAAGATACTCCTTGTTGAAACCCAAAGGATGCTACATGTCTCTATTAAATGTATTATTCTCTTTACAAGATCTACATCTCTCACATACACAGAAAAACCTTAATTGTTTCAATCACTGGAAAGTATGTGCCTCATCAGTTGGACAAAACCATCATAATTCTTGGAGTAGAATCCACAGATCATTTTTGTCAAAGGTAACTGAGTTCTGTTAAATATATAGAAGGTCTGGCTTCTGCCCAGATGACACAGATGTGTTGTCTTAATCTTTTTATATTGCCATATTTACCCCACTACTAACTGCAAGGGGTTTTGATTTTTGCTTTCCCAATAAACTAATTAGCCTTATTCAATCTGGAATATTTTTGGCCATTTTGGACAATCCCAACTTTCTGACTACTAGTCATGCTGTCTGGAGCTTATGGGAATTGTAGGCTTAAAATCTGGATGCACTAGATAGGGAAGAGTGTTGTAGACACGTTGCACTGCTGAATATATTCATACTTATCAATTTGTCCTTTCTGCAGTTTGTTTGTTTGCTTGCTTGCTTGCTTGTTCTAAGAACACTTCCCATTGTCACATGGGCAGTATTATGCAATTGTCTCTTATCAGAATGAATTCTAGTTTATTTTTCCTGGTATCAGTATTACTGCCATTACTATAAATGTCTTCTAATTTATATAATAACAGATGTAGTGAAATAACTAGTAAAAAGATATATTATTCACCTCTTATGCTGCTCTCATCTATTTTGTCAGGCTTTTCTTCTTATTATTCTTATTCACCTCCCCCCCCCAATGGTATGATATGTTCAGAATATGATGGACAGCAATAAATGAAATGTCACTAGCACATCAGCTACCACTGTATCCTTCATGCCAAGTAGCATAGCAAACATAAAATACATGCTTGCTATAATCAATTGTCTTAAGATTATTTAGGAAACACCTCTATGAAATGTGGAGGGAAATCTGTAATTCACCTGCTGGTGGGCACTGGATAGCTGTTCTTCTAGAGTAGCTACTCGTTCCAATGCAGCCCGTAGACGCTCTCTCACCTGAGAGGATTCAACAAATAATGTTTATAACTAAAAAAATAGGGTGAATACACAGTCCCCCAGAAATGCTTCTGCTACTTTATTTGCTTATTCCACATTGAACATTATCAAATATCAAAAAATCCTATCCATAAATAGTTAATTAATTCACATGTTCCACATAATCTGTAAGACTGTAGAAAATCCAGAAGCTTTGTATCCCAACCGGCTGAGTCAATAAGAAGAAATATTACTACAGGATGCTTGGTGGATTCAATTAAAGACTTGGGATAATCTCCATCAGATTAAGCAAGAAAGGTTCTCCGGACATAGTTACTGAAATGGAAAACTACTAGAGATTATTCCTATAGGGAAGTGCAACGTGTGTGAAACTCCTATGAGGCTAATATATAGAAAAGCTGGAATTTTCCTTTAGAGGAAAATCTGCATAAATTCAACACTGACAGCAGTGTTTTGCAATTTAAGCTCTAATATTTGGGGCTCTCCTTCAAAGGGGAAACAGAACTATGGACCAGAGTAGATACCATCTATAGAAAAAGAATGTTGGTGAGAAATCTGCAGAAAATGCAGACTAAAGCAAATATTCTTGGCCAATTCAGCCTGTACTGCACTTAAAGATCCCAGCTTCTTAATCAGCAGGCTCTGCTGAGGTTATGCATTCACAACCAAATGCAGAAGTTAACCCAAACCTCACCTTCTCATCCAGTGCTTTATGGTGTTCAAACAAAGATTTCAGTGCTTTCAGAACTTCAACTTCACTAGAGACACCAGACGGAGACTGAGCTTGCCGCTTCACCACAGTCATTCTCAGAGAGCGTTCGTGTCTTGAGACGAGGCACTCCAGATGCTCCAACAAAAGCTAGAAGACAAGGAGTAAGTCAGTATTCTTCATTCAGAGCCAATGACAGGTAGGATAAAGTGTTTCCCTATTTGCTAGATAAATTCAGGGCTTTAAATAAAAGTGTTCAGGTTTCACCATCAGCCCATTTCTGAACCCAAAGGTAAATATCAGTTTATTCATATACTTAACATGATTTCTGCCACTGGACAATTTATCCAACTATAGTTAAGGTGTTAGCTTCAAAATGCAGTAAATAAGTAATATACAATTCCTAATTACATAGCAGAACAAAACAGATGTAAATGATTCAGAAGAAATGTAGCACAAAATGAGGCATGCAAGCCTTCCAATTGTCCTTTCAGATTAATTCCAAAATTACCTGAATTGGAATTTTTTAAAGCATTGTGAAGCTATGTGGTTCCATTATGTTCAAAAGTGGAAAAATAAAGGGCCAAGCAACCTGACAACTCCCACAGAGATGAAAAATTGAGTAGGAAAGGTATTCTAGGGTTTCTAAAGCCCACCTATCCTTTGAGGCAGACTTTAATGGGGCTCTGAGGTTCTTTTCAGAGCCTGGCTCAGAGGAACTCTGCCGGCTTTTCTAATAAGAAACACAAAAAGTCTTGCCAAAAGAATATGATTGGAAAGGTTGTCCTGGGACCTCAAGGCAATTTGAAACAGGGATTAATGACAGTTTTGCAGCAAATGTCAGGTAACAGTGGGACAAAAGAAAAGTGTGTGCCTGCAGCACAGGAGGCAGTGGTCTTCTTGAATAACTTTCAATTCCAGTATAAACAATTATCTAAATCATTTCTAGCTAACATTAATGGCAACATCCATCTTCATTAAACTAACCTAGCAGGGATGTACATTCAAAGGATGTGTCATCAATGTCACTGAAGATGACTGGCACTGTAAATGATAAAATATTGTTTCTGTTGGTACCCCATAGTACATCTGAATGTCTTCAATTACTGCAACCAAATGAATATACATTTCACAGTAACAAAAGTACTCAGGACACACAATTGAATCTCTAGTGTTCCATTATGGTGTGCCATCAAAAACACACACACACACTAGCACAGTAACAGGGGAAAGAAACCTGCTATGTGGCAGTCCAGAAGTAAAACTATTTCCAGATACAAGTTCACAATTGCTTACTACGAGAGAAATGATACTGATCAAGGATTCTTAACAAATCTTGAGGCAGTCACGTAGCATACAGAGAGCCATGGGGGCTATGGGTCCGGGTGCCAAATTCTTGGGGGATGCTGCCGGCAGCCCTTAAGTTTCCTCTCCTGGCCAAGACTTTTGCTTTGTGGAGGGTGGGCATGTGAAGGCATGTGGGCTACCTGTGGTGCACCCCAGGCCTGGCCACCCACTCATCTGCCTTTCTCCAGCAGACCCGGAGCACAAAGGTGGCAGAAGGCGGTGGCGGCAGCAATGCAAGAGTCTGGTTTGGTGGCTTTGGCAGCTGCCGGGCTTGAACTCCAGGACAGCAGGGGAGAGCGGCTTCCTCTTCCTCCTCCAACTAAATTCTTCCAATGGGTGGGAAACTCCACAAAAGGTTTACTAAAAAGTTTACTAGGCTGTTAAACCTTACTAAGAAAGAAAACTGCAGGCCTCCTGTGGAGATGTCTAGTAGGAGCTTTCATGATGCCAGCCTACCAAATGCCTAGCTCAGACTAGGTCTATTACTTCCCATGGACGAGTTCTTTGGATTAGGCGAACAAGAATTATTTTGTCCAGCACTGAGACTCATTCTTTACTCACCCTTGTGTTATTGCGCTCTGCTTTCAGTTCAGAGATCTCCTCTTCCCTTTCTAGCAGTTGCTCTCGACAACCATTGAGTTCCCTGGTCAGTGTTGCAAATTCCTACAAGGCAACCATAATTCTACATTACAAGATACCTGCAACCAAGTTTATTTTTTAAAAAACTTTTTTGTAACAAAATTAGAGCAGACATATAAAATAGTGTTTGCACCATGACCATTCTCCCAAAAGGGTTCAATATGTTCTGATTGCCAAAGCTGAAGGATACAGAGTACAAAATTGTCATTTCAAATAAATTAGAGAGTACTACCTGTCAGATGGGAAAGTAGTGCAGCTTTTCATTCTGAATTTCTCAGTAAGGTTTTGTAATGTTTCAGGGGCCCAACTGTTTAGTACCAACAATGAAATGGTACTGAGACTGATTGTTTCACTGCAAGTTCAGATATAAGTAAAACCAATACAAAAACTATTATCCTAGAGGCAACCAAACTGTTTTGTGCCCATGAAATGCGTCATGTTATTCCAACATGATTAAACTGGTTTTTTCCCCCAGATCATTTCTGGATGAAATTCAACTGCTGATCATTGCCTTTACAACTATACATAGCTTAGGCTTGGGATTTTGTTTTGTTTTTAAAAGACAGTTATATAAATCTTACTGGCCTTCTCAGCCACAATAGATGCTGTTCCAAGACTTATTCAGAGCACATTACCATAGTCTCTCGAGACTGAAGGATGCCTACATACATACAAACCTTACTGAATGACACTGTACAGTGGCAGCAGAGAAAGATTCCTTGTTCATCGCTATTACAGATAATTCCCCAAAGAGGCCTATATTTGGTTCTCAAACACCTTCTCTAAGAAAGAATTTGTCACCTGCCCACTTTATGCCAATTAAAGAAATCAGAGATAAAGCTGGTAAAGACTTTCAATCCATTCACTTTAGGGCATGCTACATCCCAGCAAGTCAAATGTATATTCTGCACAGAGAACAGCTTGAGGCTCATATGCCAGCTGCTACTCTATTACAACAATACTCACATATGGTGGTTCTCCCCCATCTAGCAAAATTTAGAACACTTTTTTGAAAATTATACGTGCTTTTCTGACAAGAGAACCCAGAACTCAATAAAACTGAGTCAATGGGGATTTGGTGAGTCAATTACTCCATAAATTTCACTGATTCCAATGGGCCTACTATAATTATGACTTAATTTAACTTATCCTTATGTTTAAAAAATTGTTGAAAAAATATCTATTTTATTTTATTTAAAATACTTTTTACTCTGCCTTTCCCCTTAAAAAAAGACCTAAAACACCTTACATCATTAAAAGACAGCATTTAAAACTATTAATAGTGAGTATAAAAAAGATAAAACACACACCATATCAAAAGAATCATAAGCCAAACCAAAATACATTCAACGCAGTAAGGGTCATTTAAAAACCCCACTCGGTTAGCCAATCACTCAGGGAAAGCTTTCCTAAAGAGAAAGGTCTGCACCTGCTATTAAAGCTACCTTCAACTGATTTTCTCAGATGTTGTTAATATTATAATTTTCTTTTTCTTTCTTGTTCTTTATTGTTTGTATGATTCTTTTTAATCACTATAGTGTCTTCTGTATTATTACGTGGGATCTGTGGAATTTTTAAGTTTACACTTATAAGCCACTATAGTAATGAATCCACTAATAGAGCAGTACATAAATCAAATAAATAAAAATTAGAAAAGTCCCATTGAAAGCAATGGAACCCAGAAAAGTTGACTCACCAAATTCCCACTGATTCAATGGGCCTACTTCTAGTGCAATTTACTACACTAAGCATCATGACTTTGGCCATTTTGTTTTAGTTATTATAAAAACACATCTGAACTAGAGATGGACACAAACTGCAGGTTTGGCAGTTCAGTGCCCCCTCTCCAGTGGCTGCCCACTCAGCAGCAGCACCCCACCCCATTTCCTCTGGGAGCTCCTATTGAGCGTGTGCCTGCTGGAGGGAGTGGGATGCCAAACCATTTGCCCTGGGGAAAAAACCTCACCAAAACCACCAAACCAGAAGTTCATGCCCATCTCTTGTTTGTTTGTTTGTCTGCTTGTTTGTTTCATTTTTATACTGTCCATCTAGCCAGAGGTCACTCTTGGCAGTTTGCAACAATAAACATGACTAAAATAGAGAGCACAACCAAAGTGAAAATAATAATGGTATGGTAAAAATAAAATAAAATAAAATCAACATTTATTCAAATAAAGTCATGTCATCTTTTTCTGTTTGCTGCACAATGGTGAAGGGCAGGGTTTCACTTAACTGGGGCTTATTTGGGGTAGGGCTTACTGTATATTACAAGCATTCTGAAAAACCATACTAGGGCCTATTTTCAGGTTAGGTCTTATTTTCAGGGAAACAGGGTACTATATAATTATGCCTTTGTTATGGGGAGGGAATAATTACAAGAAGTTAGTTATTTCTAAACATGAGTATACTAAAAGAATAGGTTTTCTAATTCTGTATTCTATATCAGACATGTTCTTGTAGCCAAGGTATCTTCATACATTATTGATACATCCTATGCATACACACTTCCTGAACCTTAATTTCTTAGTAATGCTGTCAAGAATACCAACTAGAACTATGAAAGCAGGCATAAGTACAGAAACCTTATAAACTCACACTTAAGTAAAAGACATATGGACAGCAATGTCATCCTAAATTATATTGCGTGTCACTGAAAACAGAATGAGCCTTGTGTTAATTGATTCCATAATAAAGGACTGCTGCAGGGACTCGGAGGTTGCTCATTTACCAAAGAAGCTGTTGTTATTATGTCTATGCTAGGGGTAATAGCAAAGCAAGTACTGTAGTGAGAAATGAGGCTAAAGGAATTAAAAGGATGGAGAACACATCACAGCTACTACCTCTCACATTCTTATTCTACAAAACAAAGGTCTTACAAAACTAAATGCAATTGGAAAATTTCTAACAGCTGCAAGGATTACCTCGGAAAGAGCAGGGATGAACCAAACAGAGCGAACCAAAATAGGAACTGTGCCGAGAGCCCCCGCCCCCAAGTGAGACACTTGCTGAAGAATTCTCTGCAGCTAGTATTAAATTGAGGTTTTATTACTGGCACAGCATTTGAAATAAGTCAAAGGAAACTGAGTGGGTCGGTCTCTCTGATTTCTTTGATTCAGAATGTGAACTATGGAGGTAGCATTTACATAGTCAGCATATATTATCTGTGTTTGACAAGTCAGCATAAGGATAAAAAAAGATACTATTAAAGCTAAGGGAGTCCTGCAGTGCATACTCTATTAGTATTCATTCTTACTCTAGAAATATTAACTGAGCAAATTAGAGATAAAAAGGGAATAAAAGGACTGAAAGTAAGAGGTCATGCTTTTAAGGTCCAAGCTTTTGCAGATGATCTAGTTATTATATTGGAGGATCCAATGGACTCAACTGAAGACCTCATGGAGATGCTGATGAATTTTGGTGATATGGCAGGAATGAAAATAAGCCAAAAGAAAACAAAAATACTTGTTAAAAATATGAGAGATCAAGAATGACAGAAATTAATAGAAAGGACTAACTTTCAAGAGAAGAGAGTCAGATACTTAGGGATCCAAATCACAAAGAAAACTAGTACTATATTCAAAGACAATTATATGAAGTTGATTAAAGAGATACAGAATAGCTTGGAGAGATGGGACAAATTACACTATCATTAATGGGAAGAATAGCAACCATCAAAATGAATGTTCTACCTAAAATTTTATTTTTATTTCAGACAATTCCCATAATATTAAAAGAGTCATTTTTTCAAGAATTTAACAAGATAATCATGAGATTTGTGTGGCAAGGTTAAAAAAAAACAAGAATTAACATCAAAGCAATGCAAGATGCCAAAGAGCAGGTTTTGGTCTCCCAGACTGGGTATTGTATTATAGAGCCTGTGTATTAGTCTGGATAAAGGAATGGAAAACGTTAGATAATATAGACTACTCTAGTTGGAAGGACATGATTTACAGTTAGGTTGGCATGCTTTTCTATGGTACAAAAAAGATAAAGAGCAGAAAAGTTTAAACTCGCATATAAGAAGTGCCCTACTAGGGACTTGGAAAAAGATCATCCAGCAGATTTACCAAAAAACACCAGGCTGGGTATCACCCATAGAGGCCTTTACATAACCTAACCTCATAACAGAAGCGAAACTTTTAAGATATCAAGATCTATTAAAAAATGATTGTGCGTTAAGGTCCAAAGAATAGTTAGAAACACAAAACATATATCTAGACCAGTGGTCCAGAGCACAAGTGGAATCTAGGTATAAAAAAAATAAAATAGAGGGCTTTTACACAGAACAAACGATATTTTATAAACTTCTGTTGGGCTCAAATGATAAAGTAATTAAGAAAATGTATGATTATTTGTTTGAAACTAAAATGCAAGATGAGATGGTAAAAGAATGTATGATTAGGTAGGCACAAAATATAGGACATAATATTGATACTGATCAATGGTTGCAAATATGGAAAAATAACATAAAGCTCACAAAATCAGTAAATTTCAAGGAGAACATATATGAGAAGTTTTATAGGTGGCATATGACTCCGAAAAAATTGTCAAAGATTTATACAAAGGTGCCAAATGTTTGTTGGAAGTGTGATGCACAAGAGGGAAGCTTTTACCATATGTGGTAGACTTGTAGAGTAGTGAAACAGTATTGTATAGCAGTACATACTCTGTTACAAAAAATACTGCTTTGTAATGTTCCACTAACACCAGAATCGTTTTTACTGAGTATTATACCAGATAATAAATACAAGACAAAGAACTACCTAGTTATATATAGTCACTGCAGCCAGAATTCTTTACGCTAAGAACTTGAAGAAATCGGAGATACCGAAACAAGATATGGGAAGCTGCAGAAATTGATATTCTATCAGAAGTGTTGAAAGACTGTCCAATCCTAAAGGCAACTGAATGATGAGATTTATTATATAAATGGCTTGAGTCACCAGATAGTGCTTGAATAACATAGAATTAAACTAAGATGTAACTGTAAGTTGAAATCTGGAGGGTAATCAAAGTGAAGAAAT